GCGGGCGGCATGCTTGAGGGATCCAGTTTCATTCACACAAAGAAAATTTTTCAACGGACATACCGAAAGGAACCATTTGTCCAAACTACTGTGTCCAAACTCTCCAAACCAATTATACACGTGGATTCGTTATATAGTGCGCGCTCTACCAAAATTGAACCTTGCACAACCAAAGCTGCTCACCTCAAGCCACCAGCACATGGTTTTTCAAATGGCGACAAATATCGCACTACAAGCCGCCTGGGGATGGCAAAATGTTCATTCAACATTTGTGCGCGGCAATGTGTTTCACCTGTTCCTTCACATGCGCACCCGCGACCAACAGCTGCTACTACACTTCTTTTGTGGTTCGCAAACTGAATGGCGGCTTTAAGCCCACAAACGTAGTGACCCTGTGTCACGATATGCTAAGGATATGTTCAAGGCTTAGGCACACTTTTCACTCAAATTCAATCTTTTGAATCTGCCAATTAAATAAAAATAAGCAAAAACGGCTACAGTGAAACACAGGGCTACACAATCATGGCATGTACATGTACATGATGCTACATCTGATCACGCCTCCCGAGTTTAACATCTCTCAGAAGTTAAGCGAGTCAGGGTTAGCACATGAGTGAATTAGCTAGTAGCCTTTCAATATATCTTTGAGACCAAGAAGTGCCTACTCGGGCTCAAACCGTTCAAGCTTTCAGTGTGAGTTCATGCTCACCCCCCCAAATGTTATGCCTTTCATGGCAATGTTCATCCTCTCCTGGGTGGCAGCTTTCTTCAACACATCCGCTAGCATTCTATCGGCGCCTTCTTTCTTAAGGAGGAACTCTCACTTGGACTTGCAATGACATGTATAATCTTGGGACTATTGCGAGCCTGTGGGTCCCAAGGAACACCTGAAATTTACTTGAGAAGTTCGGTGTCATACCGATCCTGTTCGGTCTTTCATCGGATGGACTGGACAGTGTACACTCAAGTGGGTCTTCCTACAATCTTCTCAGTTGCGTTGTCTTTGACTCCTGGGAAAATGCCGTTTGTCCATTGGGCTTCAAAATTGTGACCTCTCTTGAGGTATTCGACTGCTTCCCCACATGGTGGGATGGCAACTTTCCATTGTCTTCCACGAAGTCTCGAGTATATATATGATGCCTTCCCGTCTTGCGTTTCGTTCGAGCGGAAGAACAAGTTGTACACAGTGGATGCATGTTAAACCAACCATGTCAACACAGGCGAGTCATCTGGAAGTTTCTCTTCACAACTCGTGCTGCGCGAAGGGGGCCTACTTTTTTGGCCTAAATGGTCCTTTGTCCAGTGTTTCCTTGCCAGTTCCTAGGCAGATCTTGGCATTGATTCTGCATAATCTCACCTGAGGCCGTCTTGTAGATCTTCTCAAACAGAATCGGCGTGTACCCCAATGCTTCGGCGGAACGCCATAGGCGTTGGCTTCATGGGCAGCATCCTTGGTGGCAGTACTGACAGCTCGAGTCAGCTGCACCTACGGCCTTTCTCGGAGGCAGCCGGAATCGACGCGGACCCGGGACTTCAGCCTGATTGCCTGCCGTGGTGCTTCACTTATCTGGCTGGCGGAATCGTTCCATATGCCCTTCATACGTGGCCTTGTGCCACTTTGTTCCTCTCAGGATCTTCAGGCGTCTCTTTGGGCCCACTTCATCTTCCTCATCTTGCTCGGCAATCATATTCTGCATTTGGGCCATCATGTAGAAAGGTGACCCATGCTTGTAGCTTTCCAATTGGGACCTCGCATTTTCGCAGAACAGCCGTTGATGGTCATGTGGTTCCAAAGTCCTGAACCTTTGTCATTCGTCAGAGTCATTTGGCACGCATGCCATACCAGAAACTTTCGGCAACCTTTGTCCTGAGGAGTGCACCTTGGCAACACATTCCTCATAGCTGAGAACACGCTCGTTCTGATCGAGTTATGGAATGCGATCATAATCCTTTTCACGTGATATGTTTTTCCTCTTCTTCTGCTCGCAACCCGATGCTGCTCGGCACGTTGGCGATTTTTATCCTTCTTGCGTGCCAGACGTGGATCCATGCCTTGGCCTTGACTGCTCCCTAGGCAACTGCTGCAAGTGCTGCCTTCTCCATCTCGATGGCAGCGGAGAGGAAAAAAAAGAGAGGGAGAGAGAGAGAGAGAGAGAGAGGGAGAGAGAGAGGGAGAGAGAGAGAGAGAGAAAGAGAGTGGCTCAAGATTTGGCTCAAGGTGGCTCAAATTGGTTTGGCCCACATTGATTTGTTCGAGGGCACTGGACTACGAGACAGCAGACCCCTTTGACCTGTCCTATACGGCTGGAGGCCTTGCCTTTGCTCATAATTGAGGTTGTCGAGGGCATTACCCAGGTTGTTCTGTGAAATGGTTGGGGGCTATTTCCAGGAGTTTGAGAAAGTCCGGTCGAGGCGAAAATATGTGGCCTGCTCAGGTTGCAGTTCATCATGGATTTGGGCGGACCGCATCAATGGCCACAGATGGGGTTGCAATCAATGTGGCACGCCATGGCCAGGTGCAGACAAAGATTGGGAGAGTCCCCACCCGGCCAAGAAAGCAAGGAAGCCCCGAGGCCGAGCGAGGCCACAAGTCGACCCGCCCCCTGGACTAGGCGGCAAAAGCAAGGCAACACACAATGCCATTGAAGTCACCCTCAAGAAGGCCTGGGGAACATTGGCCAAAGAGGCCCAAGAGGCACTGAAAGGAGTTGGCATTGATTTTACAATATTTTACACCAGAGCCTGAATGCCCACCGCTTGAGGAAGTGTTGAAAGCACATCTTGAGTCACTCCCTTCGGAAGTGAAAGAGGCTGTGGTTGGCCTGATCAAGCCAACCCCTATGGTGACAGTTGACGTCACAGGGCAGCTCAAGGCGACAGTTGGTGAATTGAGGCAATTGGCCACCAAGAAGCAAGCTCTGCAGAGACGAGTGGATCAAGCCAAAGACCAATACAAGATCCTGTTGGACGAGCTCAAAGCTGTGCAGGAGGCCATTGACAAAGAGCATAAGCAGCTTGGGGATCAGTCGGAAGCCTATGCGAAACAGCTCAAGGCGGAAGCGGCTGAGGTACCCACCACAGGGGAGCATGTCTTGGATAGTGATGCTACAGAGCATGTCCTCAAAGCCTTGGGACAAGCAGGTATCATTTTCAACTCCGAGCAACAGAAAGAGCTTGAGAGGAATTTGGCTGAGACAATGTCCAAGCGCCGCAAGACTGATGAAAGTCAGTTGAGCGGGTAACAGCAACTGGACCAATGCAGTAGCAAAAGGGTTTGACTCTGGTGCAAACTGTCTTGCAGTGAAGGGGTCCTGGAAGATGGATTGCGCTGGTCACCATGACAGATACAGCAGTGGGGCAGGTTCAAACTCGTGGGACTGTTTGAATGTATGGCGGGATGAAGTGTCAACACGATGTGCTTGGGGTAGTCAGCAGAGTGTTGATGAGCGTTTGCAGTGCTTGAATTGTGAAGTGCAAAGTGGGCAAGATGAACCATTTCGTCATGATCTTCAAGGACTGCAGCCGTATGTGAATGTGAATGATTATCATGAGTCCCCATTTCCGTGGACGCAAGAAGAAGGCAATTTTGGCATTGATTTAGGGGTTGATCATGCCTTTTCAATTTTGTACTCATCCAGGGCCGGAATGAGCCATGAGCGGATGGCCATCAGTCCTGGGGGAGATGGAAGTGATGTGATTGGTCACGCGCGCACACCAGAGCATGACCACAGCGGGACAGGACATCTGTCCAATCAGATGGATAGGGAAGGACAAAGTCTCAAGACTGAAGTCGATGAGAGGCAACACGATGAGGCAGGTGAAGGGGCAGAAGGGGCACTGTGCTCTTCTTTCCCAGAGCGGCCAGGCGTGCCTGGACATGCTAGTGACAGGACCCCGGAAGCTCCTTCTCAATCCCTGCCGTGGCACCAACATGACCAAGATGCATATTCAGGTGGACAGGATCACCTACAATGCCTGCTCCTTGGTGGGGGCAAGAGGCCTAAAGTGACTGATGAAGATGCGATCTTGGAAGATGAGATTCAGTGTGCGGAGAGAACAACACCTGGTCATTTGAAGAACAGACTTGTTGTCTTACAAGAGAGGGCTTTGGAAGCAATCCCGGCCTTGCCCATTCAATGTGAAGACGACATTGAATTTGGGCAAGTGGAGACCAGGGTGTGGGGCTTGGACGCCCTGAAACATGTGCTCCGCATGCGACTAGCCCTGCAAAGTAATTTGATGCTGTGCAGGCCAGTTGAAGGAGCCATCAACATACCGCCGGCCATTGAACTGATGGCGGCTAATCTCACACTGTGCATCCACAATAAAGGCAATCGATGCTATGCCAACTGATGAGGATGTGGTGCTGGATGGGGGCCCACCACAAGAACCCAGCAGAGTTTTGGGGGCCGTCAACGAAACTGTGCATGCAGCTGCTCCAACAAGATGAGATTGAGGACATTTTCTGGGCCTCTGAAATGCAGCATGTCATTGCAAGGTTGGACAAGCCTCAGCAGCAGCATGACGCCTCGGAATTCCTAGTCCTGATGTGGGAGCTATGGGGCCAGACAGGCTTGCAAGGCAATTGGGTGTCCAAATTTGGGGGAAGAGATCATGAGTTTGACACCATCCCCATCTTTGTCCGCATGCCTCCTGACCTTGGAGAAGAGGTGCAGCTCGACACGTTGCTGTCAATGTGGGCCAATGAGGCTAGTGGACAATGCCTGGGGCAGGAGGTCCAACATGTCGTCTTTCACATTGGGCGGTATTCTGTGGTTGATCGAGTTTGGACCAAACACAATCACAGATTGCTCACTCCACCAATGTTTCAATGTCCACAGATGACGCTGACTGGGCACGCAGCACCGGCAAATTTTGTGTTGCGGGGGGTCATTTCACATCAAGGAGCAGAGCTCATCAGTGGTCACTACATCACTATGTTGGTGGAAGGACAGGCCGTTTGGGTGGTTGATGATGGGGAGTGCCCACGAGCTGTGAAG